GTTATGAATCTCCTTGGTTTTGATGCTATAGATATGAGGTTCATAAAGGGTGGGAAAAGGAGATATATGTAGCTAACTGTGATTGTGCTAGATGGGGAACATTCTTTCCAAATCTGTGAATAAATGTCAAACCAATCACAGTGACATAGAAGACTAAGATGCAGAAGATGTGGGAGACACAAGTGTTGAGGGCCTTGAACCTGTCTTTCCCAGAAGCAATATGCTGACAGTCTCAAGAATCAAAACGTAGAAGAAAAAGATGACGAGAAAGTCCAGCAGGACCTTGCAAACACAACCACAACCACAATCGTAGAGATGATTGAAGGTGATGTCAGCATAGACCAGTTTGATAATATCCTGTTGGAGGCAGAATGCCTGAGAAAGGGCATGGGATCTACAACAGGAAGATAAATAGAGAGGCAGTATTAGGGGCAAGATGAGAACAAAGCCTCTTGTAAAAACCCCTATCCCAATCTTTATTATGCGAGTGTTGGTGAGAATGGACGTATGTCTCAGAGGGTTGCAGATAGCAATGAAACGATCATAGATCATGGCAAGTAAAAGACTTCATACTCTGTGATAGACAGACTGTGGATGACATAGGCTTGGGGAAAGCATGCATGATTGCCAGTTTTCCTGTGATTCATGCACACACCATGTGCAGCATTGTAGGCATTGTAATCAGGGTCATTCCGAGGTTTGTGGTTGCCAGCATGGCTAAGAAATACTACATGAGCTCATGGAAGTTATGGTCATCTCTGATGACAAATATTAGGTTTATTATTGTGATTAGTCTTTGAATTTCAGTGACACCAAAGAAAACAATAAAGATTTGCTTTCTTTAAGAGAACCCTAGAGAACAAAAAAAGAAATATATGAACATAAATTACAAAATCAATGCCTAATATATGTGTCATGCAATATGCTAGAAAATGAGGATACTGTAGTGAGTGTGCAAGATAGAGTTTGTTCTTGTTCTTCTAGATCTTAACACTTAGAAATAAATTCACAGAATAAAAAACAAATAGCAGTGACAGAAAAAAAAATCTATGATAGAAGATTTACAGGGTTCTGCTATAGGGTCGCTATGAGTCAGAACCAACTTAATGGCACCGAACAACAACAATAAAAATGTAAAAAACACTTTGCTTCGCCAGAGGTAGTTTTGGGTTATATAGTTGCACAACACCAGTCAGTGCTATTGGTCCTGCCATGCTGGGGCAAACTGTGGGGCCAGAAAAGGACAACAAAGCTAGGAATCATAATTACTTCCTATCATACAACAATGGTTTGTTCGTGTCACATATTGTCACTATTTTTTAAATATGTTGCCCATAAGAATCCTGTTTTTCCTATTTTTAAAAAACTCTCACAAAGTCAGAATGTAAGAAGAGTCCTTTTTTCCTCCATCACATTAGTTAGACAAAGGAAAGTCCAGATATGATGATCTTCTCAGTAGAATCTGTGAGCACAACCAGCCTTATATCCTTTCTGTGTTTACGATCACACTGTTTATTTGTGCTTGTTCAGACAAAGTAATGGGCATACTTTGTGGAGCTGGGTGATGGTGATGTGTGTGTGTATGTGTGTGTGTGTATGTGTGAGAAAGGGTATTGTTGGAGAAACAATTGGTGATTACAGCTACGTACTCAATGCCATGACTTGGAAGGAAGACCCATAATTCTAAGACTGTTGCCTCATGGCCTTGAAAATCATAGACATCCATTTTGAGAAGCCTTTGAAATCTTATATTGATAAAAAACCACTTCCCCAAAGCAATCGTTTTGTTCCCCAAACTTGGAAGTTTCAAGACGACACTCTCAGTCTCCTTTTTCCCTTAAACATTTTCTCATGGGAGACATCACCCAGACACTTAACAAATAACTTTACAATATCTGCATTTGCTCAGGTCAGTCCTTTTCCCTCTTGTTTTCAGTCTTCATTCCCCAACCCCTGCCTGCCTTGTATTCTTTATTATTATCTTCTGTTCACCTGACCATGTAATTTATAACTAACAATGCTACCTATCCTGTTACATGATATCCAGTAGATTGTATTTAATCACCACATTCTCATTGTAAGACCCAGTATATAATGATTTTACTTTTCCAAAGCTATGGACTGACTGATCAACTAGCCAACAGTTACCCTAAATTTTTGACTGTTTTACTAGTGAATATTGGCTCTGTATGGACTTCTGTCCAAAGCACCCAGCAGTATTTTCCTCGGGTATAATTCCCTGTTGGTGAAAATGGTGACCACTTTCACCTACACACCCAACACAACATCCACCATCACTTACTATCTGAGCAGGATTTTAAACCCTCAAAATATGGAGGACCTGGATCTCAATATGGAGAAATGAACAAAATTCTCCCCGACTTCAGTTTAGCAGTATTTGCACTTATTACCTGCTGTATACTGGGCTCACTTACGGGAACATGCAGCAATTTTAACATAGTTTCTAATATGAAATTCCTCAAAGCTGGCTTCTACCTTTATCTGAGCCCAGTCTATCTGGCAAGTTTTTTCTTTCTGTTAGTACATATCCCTGGTCATTACAGTGTCTCCCTTCCTCAATCTGATTTAAGCTTCTGAAGGAGTAAATGCCTGGTAGAACATACGGGGGCAGAGTGGAAGTAGTGTTTTATTCAAACAGCTGAATAAAACAACAAAGGAAACAGACAATCCATCCCAGGGTCATGAACTACCCTAGGAAAGTGATTAAATTTAAGCATTACATCAAGGTAGGAAAGAAAATAGATTAGAGTGGAGGATGGGAAGGTGACCTTTTAGCTCCAGCTTTTTGGGACAACTCCCAGGACCTTGTTCCTACAGTGAGGCATATATGGATGTGGAGAGCAAAGCAGGACATTGAACTGTCTATCTGTTAGGAAAGTTTCTCTCAACCTATCCCATTGTCCCTATTGTTGAGATGTTCAGCTGGGGTCATCATGATCTCAGAGCTCTGCTCTGTTTCATAAGATACGACTCAATGAAAGAGAAACTGAACGTCTCAATCTTTTTTTTTTCCCTCATGGGGTCTTCCTCTGATTCCTCCATCCTGTCTCTGTAAGATAACTCAGGGCAAGAAGAGAAAGGAGAAACTTTGGAATGTATCATTCAAATGTACGCATTTGCAAGTATTGTATACTGTTATCCTAATCCCCTTCTTATTAGTCTGTTACTTCAGGGCCCAATATCACTGGGCCTAGAGGAAAAGTCAAGAAAGAATTCTTTTGATGTGGCTTAGGGTCCCCCTGAAGTCATTCTCAAAAGCACAAGGAAGGAATAATCTCTGACTTCAAGAATTGTGATCTTTTATTTTCTGAGGATATCAAATGACAAGACAACTTAGGATGTCCAAATCGTAGAAGGCATTACAATGCAATATAACAGAAACCCTGAGGGGATATGCATATTAAGAGACATAGACAGAAGAACAAAAAGACACACAGAGGCACGTGATCAATTTAAATCTCATTCATTTTAATCAACAATTTTATTTTAGTAAGGATCAACTTTGCAGCAGATTCTGTAATCCAGTAACAAATAGACTTATATGATCCTTATCCTCATGGATCAGACATGCTACAAGCTAGAAAAGGAGAAAAACAATCACAAACAGACACAAACAAGTTGACTGAAAAAAACAAAAACAAAACCCAGAAAAGAGTCCCTTGGGCTGATCAGACACAGATCATTTATTAGCATAATAAGTGCTCTAAAATTTTGTTTTCAAGTCTATTTTCTCCATGTTTCTCTAAATCTCAGGAGTTCTCCAATTCCCCTCCTTTCTGTGACTGTGGTAAATGCTACTGTCGGAAGCCACTTTAATTGTCAGTGTGCTATAGCCCAGGGGACTGGGGCTATCTATATTAAGAGGAGTGACTTATATTCGGTGACCCCTTGTATGATTCTAGCATTTCATACCTTCTCTTTAGCTCATAGCAATATATCTCTTTATTCAGTTGAAAATCTTTCATTTGAGTCATGGACACCAAGTCTTCAGCTGACCATGTCACCACGTCTCTTACCCTCCATGCCTCAGCTGTGACCAAACCTTGATAGATATTGGAGACAGAAAAGGTCATTATCTTTTACAGTCATGAGCATTGACTCCATCCTCTCTCTACACATCTGGCCGTGTTTTTCTCAACACTGGAATTTTACACATACCAGAAATAACTACCTAGACTTATCTATGATATACTTCCAAAACGAACTTCAAATACCTCTTTACTTTTAAAAATACATATCTCTGTTCAGCAGTATCTGGGAATAACTCATCAAGACAATGGTAATCTGGATCAGGAATTGTCTTTCCATTATTATTATTTGTTAACTAATATGTACAAAAATTTCAACTACTTATAGATATGCTTTTCCAGAGTTACCATCTTGAATTGAGGACAGCGTAAGGATTATTACTTCACTGAGTGCAATTTTTTAAAACAGTACCCTGCTCCATGTAAGTGAGGAAGCTGGATGTATGCCTGAGGTAAGGAGCGTCTTACTGTTAGATATGTCACGGCCTATACATGCAGACCATATGAAAAAACAATAGACCTTGTCTCAAATACTGTTGACCCATGCTATAGACCAGAGGGTGTGATGGTTCACCAAACAAGGTGAATTATCCAGGGAAAACAATAAATGTCAGTTAGACACTTGAGACATGTGCTTAATTAATGGTATATATATACATATATATATATAATATATAATTATATGTACACATGTATGTATATAGTTACATAATTAATGTTATATATATACACATATAGGTATATATATAAAATATATAATTATATGTACACATATATGTATATAGTTACATATGTATAATTTTATAGATGACTCAGCAATAGTAATAGGTAGGATGAAATGATGTTCTAAATGGCAGCATGGTTGGTTTTCCTTGAAATGCCTTTCCCTAGTGGCTCCTGTCAGTCTGTTCAGGTTCCCTGAATTACTCCTCAGAGAGTAGTGTTTCAAAATCATGCTCTAGAATGAGACAGAGATAATAAACGAAGTATACCACTCTGGATCTGCTTGGTTTTAATGCTATAGATAACAGGGTTCATAAAAGGTGGAAAAAGGAAGTATATGTAGCTCCTTGTGATGTGAACCACATGAGGAGCATGCTTTCCAAATCTATGAATAAAGGTCAGACCAACCACAGTGACATAGAAGACCAGGATGCAACAGATGTGGGAGACACAAGTGTTGAGGACCTTGGTCCTCTCTTCTCCAGAAGCAATGCCCACGACAGTCTTGAGAATCAAAATGTAGGAGAAAACGATGATGAGAAAGTCCAACAAGACCATTGCAAACACAACCACAACTGGATAGAGATGATTGAAGGTGATGTCAGCACAGGCTAGCTTGATAACATCTTGGTGTAAACAGAAAACATGGGAGAGAACATGGGATTGACAACAGGGAAACCAGTGCAGTCTAATAATTATTAGCATTATTGACAGACAAGCCCTTTTCAATACTCCCACCCCAATCTTCATTACTTGGGTGTTGGTAAGGATAGAGTTATATCTCAAGGGGTTGCAGATGGCAATGAATGGTCATAGGCCATGGCAAGCAACACACCTGACTCCACAATAGAAAAAGTGTGCATAAAGTAGGCCTGAGAGAAGCAGGCTCCACGGCCAATCTCTCTGTGATTTAACCATAGGACACACAGCACTGTGGGCATAGAGGTCAGAGTCACCCCGAGGTCTGTAGCTGCCAGAATAGCTAAGAAATAGTACATAGGCTCATGAAGGTTATGGTCATCCCTGATGAGAAAGAGAAGGATACCATTGCCAAGAACTACGGAGATATAGACTACCAACAATGGGATGGAAATCCAGTGATGTGCCTTCTCCATGCCTGGGAAGCCAGTCAGAAGGAAGGGAGAAGCAGTGGTGTTGAGCCACATGTGGGCCTTATAAACAGGGAATTATTTCCTCCACGTAAAGCAATAGAATCCTCTAGTTCTTTAGAAGTCCTTCTTGAGTGTGCTACCTGTTCACAAGTGGCCCATCTGTCCCAACTTCCAGCAACAGTAAGGATGATAATTCAATCATTCCTTGGAGAGTCCTATAGACTTCATGACCAACTATTATTTAGAGTTGACTATATGTAAAGCTATTGGGCAATATGTTGGGGATACAGCAGTCAATGTATGCAGAATAGACCTGGCTGACATCCTTGTAGATCTTATAACCCAGATATGAAGAAAAAGTAAAAGAAGAAATTACTATATTTGACTATTGCTATAATTACACTGGAATTTTCAGATTTTTTTTCTCATGATACTCTTTATCTTGACTGGTGCTATTGAGGTTTCCCAAAATATGTGAGGCTTAGAAGATCAATAGAAAATTGGTTCTAAGCAGTATTGGAAGAGCCGACATGAAAGTCCTAAGGAAAAGAAAGTATGTAAGTAAAATAAAATAAAATAAAATAAATTTAGTTGATTTGAGGGAATGACTGATACGTAACATGGCTGAAGGGGAAATTTTACTTATGAGGCTCTGGAGATTTTGGCAGACTGTAAAAATGACATAAGAATTACCGAAGTATTTCTCCAAAATACACAAATGTCTAAATTCATGTCATCTAACATAGTGATACTCTAGTTATTGGTGTGCAATGCTTCAAAAAATTGTCTAACATCTCATAGTATAGATAAGAAAATAAGCTATAAAAATGGATTGGATAATAGGCATTTGAGAGTGCTATTTGTTAGCGTGACCAGGCAAATGACCTTTGGCACATTACCATTTGAAGATATGAAGGTAGAAATTAGTTCATGTCTAAAGTGATGCAGTAAACAAATGGCAGAGTCCTTTTTATCCACTGTGGACTAGGAAGACTTAAGACATGGTTGACTTTTGTAGTGTTTAGGAGCACAGCTGGGATTGCTGCCTCTTTTTTCTATTTTCACTGAAAAACTAAGTGTACTAGGTTTACTCAGAGCTATCTTTGTGGTACGTGAGATTATTTATGAATTCTGGGAGGGGTTAAAAATCTAAGACTATTGTCCCATGCCCTGCAGCCACTCATTCACTACTAGAGAGGGACTCCATCTTAGGATGGACTTGGGCTTTCATTAACGAGGAGCAAATTTCCAAAGTCTCATATCCTGCCACATAAACTTAGGGCTTCATGCAGACCCAGAGATATCTCATTCAGACCTTTACCTTTCATGTATTCCCTCACTCCCCTTGGACTCTTTTCTATCTTTCCTGATACTTCCTTCTCTGTCTTAAACACTCAATCCCTTGGTCCTTTTTTTTTTTAATCTTCCGTAACTTTTTGTTCCTCACCTCCCCTTTTTTTCTGGAGAGTTCAAAATCCTAATCCACTCTGCTATTTATTCTAACTACATAGCTTGCCGTGTATCTATTCTCACTTACTGAAGAAATTAAAGACCACAGCCTTCAGTATGGATTACACTTCAACATAAAGAAAACAAAAATCCTCACAACTGGACCAATAAGCAACATCATGATAAATGGAGAAAAGATGACGTTGTCAAGGGTTTAATTTTACTTGGATCCAAAATCAACACTCATGGAAGCAGCAGTCAAGAAATCAAATGACACATTGCATTGGGCAAATCTGCTGCAAAAGACCTCATTAATGTGTTAAAAAGCAGAGATGTCACCTTGAAACTAAGGTGCACCTGACCCAAGCCATGGTGTTTTCAACTACCTCATATGCATGCAAAAGCTGGATAATGAATAAGGAAGACTAAAGAAGAATTGATGCATTTGAACGACGGGGTTGGCGAATAATATTCAATATATCATGGACTGCCAAAAGAACGAATAAATCTGTCTTGGAGGAAGTACAGCCAGAATCCTCCTTAGAAGCAAAGATGGCAGGACTGTGTCTCACATACTTTGGACATGTTATCAGGAGGGACCAGTTCCTGGAGAAGGACATCATGCTTCATAAAGTAGAGGGTCAATGAAAAAGAGGAAGACCCTCAACAAGATGGATTGAACAGTGGCTGCAACAATGGGCTCAAGCATAGCAATGACTGTGAGAATGTATCAGGACCTGGCAGTGTTTCATTCTCTTGCACATAGGGTCACTATGAGTCAGAACTGACTCAACAGCACCTAACAACAACAACAAACCTAACTTCCCATGTATCTGTTCTCAATACTTAATTTTTGTCACAATGCCTAGCACATAACTTGTGTTCATTTTTAGAATCATTGACTGATTGATTGGCCTATACATACAAATTGATTTCCTGACCATCTTACATCCCAGCCTCTCTGAGCAGGTTTTCAAATCATAAAAACAACTAGATTGTTCCGTATATCTTCCACAGTAATTCATTAACTTTGAATAGCTGTGCATCTCCAGCATCTAGAAAGACCTCAAAGGTGCTTACGAGAGATATAAAGGTAGTCCTTGGGTTATGAATGCCTAACTTACTTATGGACAACTTGTACTTTAAAGTTATGTAAATTAGCCCTCACTTTGAAACAATTGAACCAACCCCTACTTGCAACAAATTTTTCATCACAATTATCTTCACTTGCTGCAATGCAGCTTTTAAATTATTGAAAAGACTTCCAGCCTTTTCTTGCACAATAAAAAAACCAAACCAAACCCACTGCCATCGAGTCGATTCTGACTCATAGTGACCACATATGACAGAATAGGAACTTCCTCACAGGGTTTCCTTGGAGCAGCTGGTGGATTTGAACTGCCGACCCTTTGGTTAGCAGCCTGAACTCTTAACCACTGTGCCACCAGAGCTCCTTTTTGTACAACAGTAAGGCTAAATAAGAACCATATGCACCTGTTCTGATTTAATCTACAAATTCAACTTAAAGACTTAAAGATATAGTTAGGAAAGAATCTCATTTGTAAGCATAGGGCTACCTGTAGAATGAAAAACTCTATCCTGTTTTTAATTCAGGGGTTATTGAATGCCCTTGAATTACATGTTGTGCATTTTCCAGGTGCTGGAGATACCAACCAAACCAAACCCATTGCCTTCGAGTTGAATCTGATTCATAGTGACCCTATTGGACAGAGTAGAACTGCCCCACTCCTGAAGGATTCAGTCATCATGCAGCTGGTTTGGGATAGTTTTTGGAAAGTTGGAAAGTTGGACCTGTGGGTTCATTCACTGTCAACGTGATAGTCTTTTGATTTGTACCATTTATTTATTTACCTTTTTAAATTAGGCATATCAAGTATGTTTCATTTACAGACATGGGCTTCTAGTTACCTTATCATTTGGTCTGAGACACATATTGTCCCAGAACATAAACCAGACATAGGGGAACTTGCATCCCTATTGGCACTACACGGAACGAAGAGTGTAGAAAAAGAAAAAATGGTGGTAATAAAAATGTTAAGGCCAGTAATATGTTGTTGGAAATATGGAAAGCGTAACGTATAGCCTTATTTTCCAAAAAGTTGTTAGAATGATGTTTCAACGTTGTACCCTTAATAGCTACAGGAAGACAATGTACAAAAAACTAACAATAAATGCATAATACATGCATACATAAACTAAATGTGTGGTGCAAATTTAAAGGCAATGTGCTGAAAGTAAAATTAGTTATGATACAAAACTCATACATTCAGTAAAGGAAACAGTGGTATCTAAATATAAATAAGAAGAAGTGATGGAATCAAGTTGAGAAGCCCAAATTTACTCAAGTGATAGCAGAGGATGGCATAATATGATTTTACACTTTATTGAACCTGTGTCAATTGTCAAAAAGTAATGAAAAATATAATGACTATGTTATTACTTATTCATATTCATCAGTGGAAATTACTGATTTTATGAAATAAATGTACATCTATAGATCTTAAATGTAAATAAAACTCATACATACATGTTCCTTTTATCATTTATTTCTTGCTTTGAAAAATTTTTTCATTTAATTAGTGAACATCCACCCACTGATCCAGTTATATCTAAGGACATTTGTTGTATAATTTATTTAAAATCAGCATCCTTTCAAACAAATGCAGCTTCCAGACAAGTCTTTTAGTCCTCCAGCCTTCAGCCCTACTAAACTGTTTGTCAACACTTGGATTCTCTTATACAGAGCGTCTTGAGTCAGTGCGGACCTGAAAGCAGGAATCATGTCTGCACTGTTCCAGTTTGACCATCCTTTCCTAGAACTACTCTCTGGACATTTTCCTCAGCCAGTACTGCCCAAGCCCAAAATATGCAATGCCAGGTCCTCTTATCTTTCCAAGTCTCTTCCTTATACTCCTAATAGAAACCATTTGTGCCTTGGCTTCTCTAATTTATATTTGTGATTCTCCTCCTTTCTTTATTTGTGTCCATCTTGTGAATGTTCCCTCATGAGAAACCATCCTCAACCACTGTATCTGGCTTCTTACTGATTCCCCTGCTGCATTTGCTAGTCCTGACTCCTCTGATAGCCCGTCCAAGCCTCTTGGCATCATTATCAAATGCTATCACTGTGGAACAGCTGGATACAAAAGTATTATTGACAGATGGGGACCAGGGAACAAAACTAGTAAAGCAAATAGTGATAAGGATAAACAAAGTCATCGCATTTATGATTAAAATTCAACACCATAACTCCAGCAAGTAGAAAATAGAGAAATTTCTCTAAGGTGGCTTGAAAGGATTACATGTTGTGGAACCTGGGTCCTCATATGAGTCCAAGTTATAATAATAATAGAACATGATCAATTATGTGTTCATCATTTACTATTGCTAAGCAGTGCCTAGAGAGCTTCACACTTTGTATCTAATTGCCACAGAAACGCTTCTCATTAGTTGGCTTTTGTTATAATTCATAACATACAGATTAGGAGACTGAAGACTAGGTAGGTTACTCAAATAAAGTAATTTCTCCAAAACAACACAATGCTGAGTTTAAAATGATTTGTCTATAGAAACAAAGTATCTGGTGCAAGTTACAGGAGCATTTTCTTCCAGTACTGGTCAGGCCAAAACTGAGATAGAATACTTGGTTCATCCACCATTCTGTAAGTGGGACACTGAATATTTGCTGAAGACTCATTATGGGAGGGGAGGGGTAACTCATAGTGTCAAATTTAATAGATGTATGAGGGTAGGTGATACCCTTTCTGTTAAAAAAGGAAAGGAAGTTTATGAATAATGTGTGTGCAGAAGTGTGCCTGTATGTTCATGGGAGTTTCTGTGTGACTAGGAGTGTCAACTACTCAGAATTTGTAGGAGTGTA